AAAAAAAGACACACAAAGAAAGCTGAATACATAGGTATAAATATAGTTACTTGGGGTAAATGCAATATAAAGCAAAGCAAGCCAAGCCACATTAATATTTAAATGAAGTATAATTCAAAGCTATAATTTTCCAATGGGGCAAAAGAAGCTCTTCGGTTTGCTGAGTCCAATTCCTGAATAAGATCTACCAACACTAACAAGTTCCTAATCTGAAAGTGTTTATAAAAACAAAAACCATTCCCCTTTACAATTAGATAAAAAAAACAAAACAAAAGTGTACCAAGACTTTTAAAAAACTCTGCCTAAAAAATGATTGGGTCATTAAAAGGGATATCGGCACAGGAACATTATTCGCCTGGGTTGGAGAGAGAACATTGTAAGGGGACAGGCTTCGGGTCAAGCAGAACACAGCGGTCTAGAAGCTTTCACTAAGAAAAGGTTTCTTTTTGTCAGTTCTCTCTTCTCTGCAGTGTAGACTGGATTACAGTGTAGACCGCGGCAGAGGCTGCATTCAGAAGTAGCTTCCAGAGCTTTCAAGGCTGCAATCTTTCTTTTGCACATTCCTCAGCAAAGTGTGAGGCAGAAACTGTACCTTGATGTTCCGCCGCAGCCTCTTCCCATTGGTCACCTCACACACAAACATGGGGATCGCTTGAGTGTAAGCCTTTTTAAAAAAATGAATCTTGAGTGCTCGCTTCGGCAGCACCTATATTAAATTGGAATGATACAGAGATTAGCATGGCCCTGCACGTGAGGATGACACACACATTCATGAAGCATTCCATATTTTTTTTTAAAAGATTTTATTTATTTGTTTGACAGAGAGAGATACTGTGAGAGAGGGAACACAAGCAGGGGGAGTGGGAGAGGGAGAAGCAGGCTTCCCGCGGAGCAGGGAGCCCGATGCGAGGCTCGATCCCAGGACCCTGAGATCATGACCTGAGCCGAAGGCAGACGCTTAACGACTGAGCCACCCAGGCGCCCCATCATTCCATATTTTTTAAATTAATTTTGAAATAAACTTAGAGTTTCAAAGACAGAGTTTCCATATACCCTTCACTCCACCTCCCCTAATATGATCCTCTTGCATAACCGGAGTACAATGATTGGAACGGGGAAATTAACATTGATGTAATACTGTTAAATAAACCCCAAGCCTTATTCAGATTTCATGAGGTTTTCCACTTGTATCCCTTTTATGTCCCAGGATCCAATATGCTGCGCTTCTTATTACGTGTCCTTGGTCTCCTCCAAACTGTCAGCATCTCAGACTTTCCTGTCTCCTGTGACTGACATTTTGAAGAGTAGGTAAGTCACCTGTTCTTTTATAGAGTGGCTTTCAGTGTGGGGACTGAGATTCTGAATTTTTGGTGAGGAGATCCTGAAATTCATGGTGTGTCTTCTCCTGTGCGTCATATCAAAGGGCTTGTGATGTTGCTGTTAGGTGTAATCACTATTTAGGTGTTTCATGTCCAGGTTTCTTCCCTGTAAAGTTATTCGCTTTTCCATCACCAGGTAAGTTGCATTATGCCTGTTAAGTCAATTACATTACTTAGATTCTTCAGCTGGTGTGATGGTTATTTTTATGTCAACTTGACTGAGTCCAGGAACGCCAGAGTCTGGTTAAACATTATTTCCGGGTGTGTCTGGGAGGGTGTTTCTGGAAGAGATTAGCGTTTGAATAGGTAGACTGAGTGAAGCGGATGGCCCTCCTCAAGGAATAGATTTCTCTGCCCTTACATTTATGATCAAGGACTGGGCAATGCTGCAGAGTGCAGAATTGCCTGGGAGCAGCCAAATGACCTCGGGGATTCTCTCAGGAAGCAGATCCTGCCCACCCTGCAATAAGCAGTGGTAAAGAAAAGGAGCTCTTCCAGCTGGTGGCTGAGCTTCAGCTTGGGGTTTGACAGCTCCTTCATTCCAAGCAGCATTGAGAACAAAGACAAAACCCCATCCCTTGTGGAGTAGACTGGCACATGAAGCCCCATGACAGCAGGAGTTTTATTCCACTGGAGCCAGCTACAGAGGTACAAATCCTAACGGCCCCCTGAATAAGTACTTTGAAGTATTACGCATATCGTTGGACACCTGATCCGTGAACTGTGGTCAGGTAGGATGGGGTGGGTGGGAGGAACTGGGGCTCAGCCATCCTCTCTCTCCTTCTCTGCTCTATACTTAGGGGGACTGATGCCTGCAGACTGTTTCCCAGGCTCCAGTGTCAGCTGGCTTTGGGCTTGATTCAGCCTGAGGGGTGGGGTGGGGGGACATGGGCAGGAGATTGGACGAGGAGAAGAGAGACCAGGGTATTGTGGGGCATCCCAAGGGGATGGGAGCTGATAAGGGTCAGTGATGAAAGAATTCACCTGACGCAGAACAAAGGAGGTAGAAGTGTATTGAATACACCACAAGGGAGCAGCGGGCAGGACAGCAAAGGAGAGACTGGGTGCCACGAGGCGGTGGTGGCGAGGGGCTATAGTTGTAGGAAGGAGTGAGAGAGTTTGGGGACGTAAGGAATTTTCCCTTTTTTGGTAATCTTAGGGACTGTACCTGGTTGTAATTGGTCAGTTAGGGCCTATGGCTTAATGAGCCTGTGTGCATCAGCTTGGTGGTCGCTGTGGGCCCTTTTGGCTTGCTCAGGTTTCCGTTGCTCAAGCCTGTTGCCTAAAAGCAGCCTCCACAGGTATCTCTTTCTCCTATCCCCCTGCCTTAGCCAGACCTGTGGCAGCAGCTGCATCTCCCCCTCCCCAGCCCCAGCCTTAGCCCCCCGACCCAGTCAGACCTGCCTATTGCAGTTTTCATTGGCGACTCCTTCCCTGGGCTCTGAGAGCCCCACCTCTTGCCTTTTCTTTCCAGTAAAGGGATGGGCATCGTTACCCTCTGCCGCTGATCTGGGTCACCAGACCATGCCCTGCTTGACTCTCAGCTCCTCCATCCCCTGTTTAGCCAGTTCTCTGTATTAAATTCCTCTGTCATAAATACTTGAAGTGATTCCTCTTTTCCTGGAGAGACCCTGACCGAAACAGATCTCTGTAGAAAGCCATAGATTCATGAAACTGGCAGGTGTGGTGACGGAATTAAGAACGACATATATTTTAGAGAATGGAGTCAAGGTAAATATTACCATTTTGTTAAGAAGCTTACCCGTCACCATAAGCCAGAGATGAAAACCAGCATTACAGGATCTCATTTACATACCCTTAACAAGGGAGAGGCTAAGAAACTCAACAACATCAAAAGTTACTTAGAGAACACGAGAGAACAGACAGGAATCTGTCAGACTGTGCCTCAGGACTCCTGGTCTTAGGGATACTGGAGACCTTGGGATAGGAATGTAGATAAAAATCAGCTGCTAATGTGAAGGAGAACTGAGAAGAAGGAAGAGCATCACGGTGCCATATTTAAAAGAAAAAAGATTTTATTTATTTATTTGAGAGAGAGAGCGAGCACGCACAAGCAGGGGGAGGGCAGAGGGAGGGGGAGAAGCAGACTCCCCACCGAGAGCAGAGCCCAGCTTCACTGGACACGATCCCGCGACCCCGAGATCATGACCTGAGCCCAAGTCAGACGCTTAACCCACTGAGCCACCCAGGCGCCCCTACAGTGCCGTGTTTAGCACTCGTTGGCATACGGGGTGGAATTGTGGCTAGACTAGGAACACCCAAATGAAGGCAAGAGTGTGGCATGATGGCTTGGAGCTCTTTGGTGGGAAATATTGGGGAGCTCTTTGAATGCCTGAATTCAGCTACTGCAAGGACTTCTGGCAAAAAGTCAGTCTTTTATGTGGGACAGATTTTATTTTGTGGCAGACACACACCTTTTGCAATGGTTATCGGGGCAACTTTGGAAGAAGCTTATCTGGGTTTAGCTTAATTTTAACCAACAGCAACCTCTTGTTAACATGTTGAGAGCAAAGGGGGAAAGGCACAGAGGCAGGGATTTCTTGTTGAATCTCTTGCTGGTTAGCAATCACCGCAATATAATGCTTAGATTCGGGTGCCTCTGTCAGGACTTCTGGAAGAAAATATTTTCATTCCCGAAAGAACCTTGTCTTGTATGTAATACATGGCAGCCCTGTTTTGCAAAGATCTGTACTCAACAGGCTGAGAGAAATACAGGCTGCTCTGAGATTGGTACCAAGATAGGCGCAAACAGAGGGGAAAAGACAAGACAGAACAATTCTGTTGGAGGAATCTTCGAGGCAAGCATCATGTCTACGAAGCATCTGACTTGGGTACCATCTACTGTGCGGAGGATGGAGGGACACCAGAAGACGTTTCCTTTCCCTCCTTGTCCTGATCTGCATAGCAAGATTTGTAGGTTTTGATCTTTCACAAATCCCGTTCTTCCCGATTTATGGTTTCTCCACCTTCTTTGGGGGATTTCAGATTTGACAGTTTTAACCTTAGGTGTTTGGGCTCATTCTGTCATTCTGTCTTCTTCCCTGGGTGGGCAGTGGAAGCTGTCGCAGGTCAGCCACCTTGACTGTGAGGTTTTATAACTTGACTCCTGACCAAATGAAGGAGGGTGATTCCCCATCCTGTAAAGTGGTCATTTGCCCCAACGAAGCTACTTCTGCTTCAGCAAAGAACACTGTGTGACTGTTGTCACTTGATAATGTTTAAATGATATAAGAGGGTGATGGTGGCCAGCCAGTGAAATCAAGGATAGCTTTGATTTTTATTTAAGTAATCTGTAGACCCAATGTGGGGCTCGAACTCACAACTCTGAGATCAAGAGTCACATGCTTTTCTGACTGAGCCAGCCAGGTGCCCCCCTAGGACAGCTTTGATTTTTTTTTAAAGATTTAATTAATTAATTAATTAATTGAGAGAGAGAGAGAGAAGGGGAAGGGCCAGAGAGAGAGAGAGAGAGAATCTCAAGCAGACTCTGCACTGAGTGCTGACCCTGATGTGAGGCTCGATCTCAAGATCCTGAGATCATGACCTGAGCCGAAATCAAGAGTTGGACGCTTAACTGATTGAGCCACCCAGGCACCCCTGGATATCTTTGATTTTTAATCTGAAAGTTTATACTTGCCAATTGGGTTTATAAGGAGGTTGTTGGAAATAGATACATACATACATACATACATACATACATACACATCATACTTAACATATCTATACTGAAAGTTGATCTTTACATTTTTCCCTATGCCTCTTATCTTGGGCTTGGATGAGCACTTCACAGTCTCCTAGAATCAAATAGGAGTTTCACTGAATTTGAGAGACTTATGTCCTTATTTCTAATTTTTAAATAATTTTGGAAATGAGAAAAGAGAAAAGCCCTCTCCCCTCCCCTCCAACATCCAGGAGCTGACCTGGCACCCCCAGCCAGGCCTTGGTGTTTTTTTTTTTAAGATTGTATTTATTTATTTGAGAGAGAGGAAGAGAGCACAAGAGGGTGGGGGAGGAGGGGAGGGGCAGAGGAAGAGAAAGAAGCAGACTTCCTGCTGAGCGGACCTATATGGGGCTCGATCCCAGTACCCGGGGATCATGACCTGAGCTGAAGGCATGCACTTAGCCCACGGAGCCACCCAGGTGCCCCAAGCCAGTGACTTTTAAGGAAGCCCTTCCTCAGGAAGCTCTTTGTCTGGGACCTATTTCCCTGCCCCTGAGTCATACATAGGCTCTAGTTTGGATCGTCGTCTGGATATAGATTCTAAAAACGAGTCAGCTCCCAGGAGAGGCAGTCACAGTCTAAGGATATTTCTCCCTATATTTCTATTTTGTTTCGTACTCATTTTTGTAATACTTGGTCTTATAAAAATGTGGGAAAGGTAGGTCTCAGC